GTGACATCTCAAGTGCGAGGGATAATTGGGAAAATGGGGTCCGATTGCCATAGGAGTCAGATTTTCATGTTACACCGGCATACGATCTCGGCTACCCGCTATATAGAAATTAGAGCTTTACTCCGGCACAAAGCTAATCCCCGTAAAACTTAACAATGGATCACAAAATCTACAAAATTCGTGCTTACATACATGAACTCTCTTCACCTAATGCTGCACTAGTGACTAGTGTTCACTAGTCACTAATTGGAGTACTAGTAATCCAATTGATTGTCTAACCATATGTGTACGTCTGCACAGCTACACAGAACAATGCTGGGCGCAGTGGAGTCACGTACATTATGCTCAATCCCGTGACATTGCTCACTGTTGGAATGTTCCTAAATTGTGGTAGTCTCGTAACCAGCCTATCATTGTTTATAGAACAATTTTGCTACACAGGCCGAGCAAAGCCTGGAACATCCACGTCAAGAAAAGCTTTAACACAATATGAAAAATGTCTCCAAACTTAACTGTTTCTTTACAATCCAATGTAAAACAAAAGGTGTTACCCTCTCTTTTATAAAACGATACAAAACATAAGGTCCTTCCTTTTTAATTCAATAAGAAAGCTTAAAGAGGGAAAGGGCTGACTGATTTTGAAACTTAAATATGCGCAGCATCTTGAAGTCTGAATTTATACAATCATAAATCAAGTTTAAATTTTCAAAAATACACTAAAAATTAACTTAGTGTTGTTGACTTGGAAAGTCGATCCTTTGAAGGTACGTCAGGGTGCCAGGCAGTAATTAAGGCGTGTTGCAGAGAGCATGGACTTTGTGTGTGTGTGTGTTTGTTTTCTTCAAAATTGTTGCCCACAACAAAAGCTTTGGTTTTCTGTTTCTTTTTTCTTTTCTTTTTCTTTGTTTGTTTTTTGGGTTTTTTGGGGGAGGGGTACACTACTTAACCCCCTATTAGTACTCGAAATAGGCCACGTAAAATTCACCAAGGTCAAATCTTGAGAATTTTTGTGGGAGGGGGAGGGGGAAAGCCTCAAGCCCCCCCCCCCCCCCCCCCCCCCCCCCGGCGCTCCACTGCAATGTGTACGTTCAGTACTGCTGGTATTTTCAACCTTTTCGTCTTTCAGAAATTCCCCGTACTTTGCGACCTTGGTCCAACCAAATGTGCCGGACAGATCTCTGTCAATAAATACGTGATGATTGATTGACAAATCCTATTCACAAGGATTAACGAAACGGGCAAAGAGAAAAAAAAACAACGTCTCTACATTTTGGCGCGGATGAGCGGTTGCCCCCCCCCCCCCCCTCCCCCATCAAAAGATGGATACGCTGCTGGTTACAATTTAATCCACTAAATAGTTGTTCATTAATATTTACATGTTTGAAGTAAAAGCACAGTCTGAGTGTGACCATATGGATTAAATATGCAGTTTTCTCTAATATGAGCTTAAAATCTTCACTTTTATTGACACAAAGGAACAAATGCTTTAAGGCAAAAAGGAACAAACTTACGTTTAAGGCATTTGCCTCTTTCTGGAAAAAAAATCATCAATGGTTTATTCAAATTTTATATCCAAAATAGCCCCGCACCAGTGTACCAAAATAACTTGATGATAACAAATTGCAAAGAGGGTTTTTGGACCACAATAATCTAAATTATGTTTCCTAGTAAGAGCGTTTTAAAAATGAAACTGTCCAACACTTGGAAGTGAAAACACGGGTCAATTTTACAATGCATTGAACATGTGTCACAAGTATTCCCATACGGTGCCTTTGTTTCACAAACTGCTATGCTTTTTGCTTTTGAACTTTGAGAAAGATCCTGTTTTTATCCAAACGTCAGGTTTTCTAACAATGATCTTTGTCAGCACACGTTTAACATAATACAATTCACACGGGTGTGTAGGAATTAGTTATACTGTCCTACTTTAACTCCGATCGAGTTTATTGCAAGTTAAATGACTCACCAAGTTGAAGTATATAAACAGCCAAAACTGGGCCGAGTCCATGCACAACGCAACGCGAACGGGGCAACTGCCCGCGCCGTGAATGCGGGGCGAGTTGGTTTTTTAACTCACGTGGTGAATATGCACACAAAGTTCGGTCAATAAACACTCACAAAAATCCACGAGAGAAGCTTGGATTGCTCACTGGAATAGCTCTGCCGATGTTCACTAAATCATGTAAAGAATTGTGTTGATTCTAGCTCCAAGCGAAAGTATAGGAAATGCACTGTAAATATTGCGTGTGTGACAGAGAACTAGTATAGACGAACGATAACGAAACGACACTCCATGAAAAAATGCATGAAGGTTGACCTCTGAACTACATGTAACATATATACAAGATGCGTTAAAGGCGCAGTACAGTGAAACTTAAAGTGAACGCTACAGGTACATAAGTGCAAGAATGCAATTAATGTTTGCAATACATTAATCTGCGTTTCTACATTAATAAAGAAAGTAGTGTATTCAAGTTGTAAAACTAAGAAAGCGTAGAGGTAAATGTTGCAATAGCGTTGTTCAGGTTTGGGGTCCAAGCTTTTGCCAATATGATATTGTTTTTCTGAAGAAAAAAAAAATTTCGTCGGCACAGAAAAATAAAGCCACAAGGTATTGTAGAATTGTAAATTGCTAACAGTTTTAATTGCTAAAACAAAACCAACAGGATCAAAATGTCAGGGTTTTATATCATTGCTTCCTGCTCCCCAAAACTCTTTTTATAAGCAACCGTACGTGCCACAGTCACCTGTACTCTTGGTCTAAAACTAGATTCGGAGTTTACCGCCACTCCCTTTTTGTGGTAGGCGTAGTCAGGTAGCCGAGGCGGTAGAGGGCGCTACCAACAAGATGAATCAAATTAAGTCCAACTAACGTTGGCACTCGAAACCAATCAATGCTGGTAATATTTCGCTTGCGTTATCTCCATGATAATTTGCACACGTGAGTTGGGCTCGGAAATTATCGGGTCCCATTGCCAAAGTGCCCTATAACTCTACCGCCGCACGCAGCTTGACCATGCCTGTGTGGACGGTGATTCTGTCCCCCGGTAAAAGTGTCCGGGGGGACAGAATTACCTAGGTAAAAGTGTCCCCCCTGTCCCGTTAATTGTGCCCCCCTCCAGGTAATTCTGTCCCCTCCAGTTAATTCTGTCCCCCTGGTTTTGCACGCATAAGTTGTTATATTGATGTTATTATAATAAATTCAGCGCACAGGTATAGATATTTAGACTTTTCCACGCTTCATCAATAATTATCAAAATGAAATTAACGTTTAGATGTTAATCAACCGATCTATGTTTCTGCAAGAAGGCACGCGTAGTAATACTCAACCTATCGCTAGCGCGCACGCGCATCAGCCGCCGATACGCGTTTGACTGTCATGGCGGACTTCAATGAGGAGAATTGGCAAAATTATACGCGACACGGGTGACCGCGCCGCAGGCCTGCTGCTGGTGCAATGTTGTCCCCGTCCCCGGCCGCGGCCCTGGCGCGGCCCGTAGGTGCGGTATCGCGCGCACGCCCACCATGCAAATCGTTCGCTCCCGAAGTCGTCATCAAAACGGGAGTTGTGCTTTGACGTAAGCATCATTCCCGAATTTAGCAAGGCGCCGCGCAAAAACAGTTAATAACTTCACTAATATACAGTCTGGGTGCTAGACTTGTGACGTTGCACGGGGACACATTTACCAGGGGGGGACACATTTAACGTCGTGCAGGGGGACAGATTTACCTAGAGGGGGACAGGTTTACCTAGGTAAAAGTGTCCCCCGGACAGATTTACCGGGTCACGACCCGGTAGATCTGTCCGGGGGGGACACATTTACCAGGGGGGACAGAATTACCTGCCACACCTGCAAGAGGTAGGCTTGGAGAACAAAACTACAATCACGTCGCCTTTATCACCCTAATTGCAACAATCAATTCTGGCTATTCACAATGCAGTGCGCCACCAAGAGTTTGCCATGGAGAGTCCATCTTTCAAGTTAACGGTCGACAAAACACGGCCCAGTTGAATGAGTGTCAGTAGACAATTTGAGCTAATATGTTTATAGATTGGAGCATATCATTCTGCCGCCTTACAAAAAAAATCGTACTCCAAAAAAAAAAAAAGGGCAAGCAGATCCTCGAATCATACGCTTACGAAACTACTGACAGGAAAAGTAACAATTTCAAATGTCCCGCGCTGCAAATTTGTCGACCATTTCCCCCAATGCACTGGGAAAAAACACTCTCCACGGCAAACTCTTGGCGGCGCACTGCATTGTAAATTGCTTGAATTCCTTCATCACCATGATCACCTTCATTGTATTTTATTTTGCATGTCCATACATTCACCAATAATGACGAACGACAATATCAGGTAGTTCTAGTTCAGTGTTATAATCACTGTGCCGCTCGAAAGCCAGTTTGGTATCACTAATCCACGCTGACGTAAATTCACCGGTGGGTCCTGCGAGGTAATCTGTAGGCCTACCTTCTTCTGTCTTGAGATCTCCATGTTTCACGGGGTGCACAATATGAAGTTCTTAGAAAAGACTCCCGTCAAACTTAAAATGGTAAATTGTGACCAGCTTTTGGCCGTGGAAGTACAGGTGATCCCTGCTGTCACCATTATCCTCGGAAAAGCATTCCCATATGCGCTTTCCATCCAGATCTACTACTGTTGTGGCCGGACAGACGGAAAATACAGCGAGCAGATGGCCATTAAATATGCAGCCGGTCGCTATTGTTCGGGGTGCATGCTGTGGTAGTCGAGATCGTAGTGGTAGTACCTCCTCTTCCTCCGAATCCTTCTCTTCCTTTTTGTAATCGGTACATCAAACACCTTGATACATTCCCCTGATTCGATGTTCCAGATCTTAGCAACAAAATCATCAGATATCCCGATGACAATACCTTCACAGAGGTGGCACGAAACCACTTTCTTCATACCATGACGTATCTTCTGTAAGCTACAACCACTGCGCGCATCCCAAACTTGAATTACATTGTCAATGTACAGTCCAGCTACGATCTCGTCCTACGCCAAGAAGAGTCGAGCCGCCCTTGAGGATACAGCGACAGGTTCCGTCTGCAGCATTACTGACAAAGACGTCATTGTCTACAGTGGTGTGATATTTATCATGATATTTGGCAGCTGCCGCACTAACGATTGTCTCACCGTCAAAGAACAGATGTGAAACAGGGAAACGAGGGCCCGACATGACTTGCAGCTGCTCCCCAGTCTTGTCGGAGTAGGTACGAATCTTACCGTCCTTGCATCCTGCAGCAATCTTTCTTCTCACTGATGTCCACTTCGATGAGATGTTGGCGTTTCCCACGGGAGACATCCCATATCTGCAAAGTACCGTTGTCGATACCAGCTGCCAGACAGTCTCGATTTCAGAATAAACTGAAAAAAAGAAATATGCATCGCTGTCGATGTTGGTCCAAGTTTAAAGCTTGTGATGTGTACAGTTCAACCTCGTTTCCATGGATTCGATCTTGATATGCCATGCTGTTATCGTTTTATAAACCCCGGGCCTTGTGTCCCACTATTTGGAATATTTGAATTAGGAACGCAGTCTCGAGAAGCAGTTTTTGTAATATTTAAGGTTTGGGTTTTGAGGGTTTTTTGGTTGGTTTCCTTCTCTTTTTTTTTTTGGGGGGGGGGGTTAGGTGGGGGTACCCAAACCGTTTACGCATTGAGCAATTTGGAAACAAAGTCATGCTCGTACAAGATGTGAAGTGAAGGGGATAACGCGAGAGCGCATGGCGCAATATTTTAATGGTCGAGCGGTCTTCAAAATGCACGCAAATAATAAGCGTTGTTTATGCACTCCTCACGGCCAGTGGTTAGTGAAGGAAAGTGCACGCACCCACGGATTTGAGGCTGGGACAGGTTAGTCCTCAGCCTCGTCCCTATGGTGTCGAGCATTAAGCGCCCCAACTACCTGCTCTCTCATCCTGGTATTGGATCATTTGCATGTGCAAGATGTTTGAACACGAATGCAAATAAGGAAAAGTCTGGTGCCTGCCTGTGCGTTACATTAGCGTTTTGTTTTGTTTTATGCGGTGTATTGGGTAAACCTATAATTACCTATATTTGGCGTCATCAGGCAGCAAATTAAAAGCGATATTCTTTGAAAGAGGACCATTTTCTGTGACCCTAAAGGAGCCGGTTTATTTTGGCCATCTCACAGCCCTTAGATCTCAACAATCTTGTGAAAAAAATTATGAAACTGGGTGCATGCATAGAGCAACTTAACATGAACATACCTAAACAAATTCATGACTATGGGATAAAGGATTTAGAATTATGGCTTATTAATTATTCATATGCAACAATGGTAATAATGCTTTGTGTACACTATATTTATGTGGAAATTCACTTTTCACGAAAATTGTTTGGCTGCGAGGCAACCCATGGTCGGATCTTTATGTTGAGGCAGGAGTGCGGCAGTTCGTCAAAACGCCGGTTTTCTGCCGAATGTAACTCGGCAATTCAAGATGGCGAATCAAGAGAAGAAACGTGATTCCGCAACAAATTCCTTCTGCTAGAGGAAAACCACTGTACTTCAGCAATCCATTCTTTTTTGGCCTTCTTAGGGAGAGTTTTATTTGTTTGCTCGCTAGTTCTGAACTACTTCTCGCTCGAGAAAAACTCACAATATCCAGATATTGTCGGCGTTTAGCAAAAAAATACCGGATGGCTGGATCTGCTGCTCAATGCGCATTCAGAAAAAAAAAATGCGTTTCGCGTATCCAAGGCAACCTTCGAATTCATACTTTCACAAAATAAACATGACTTGGAGCAAAACACTGTGACAGAAGTCCCAATTTCTCCGAGGCATAGGTTGGGGTTTTGTCTGTATAGACTGGCTAGAAGATATTATAATTTCACTGTTGCTGAAATGACTGCTGTAGGTGCGTCTACTCTCCCAGCCATCGATGCAGAAATTTGTGAATCCATCATCAGAAATATGTGGGACATATCAGTCACTCAATTGTTTCCCCCAAATAGGCGTGCTATTTGCATGCCCGTTTTAAAACGGGATCACTGCGTTTCTGAATGGGGACGTGCAATTTAAATTCGACACGGCAGAAATACGACGTTCAGATTTCTGTCGCTCTTCTGCCGAACTTTAAAACAGGAGTGCGGCGTAGTTGCTGCAAACGTCGAATTTTGCAGTGACAACAGTTTACAACACATATGGCAAGTTACGACGTGTCTTTTGGTCATCGCAAAATACGATGCATCCAGTTTTATGCCATTACCATTAAATAAACAACACAATAATACCGATACATTGTGTGTGAAATTGCAAATTGACTATGAATTGAATTAAATATGAATTTATACGAGTAAAGTGCAGTGGAAAACTCTAAGTCCTTCAAACGTATCTGATCTCTAATTTGAGAAGAGCAAAACTAGGAACTATAAACGATTTACGATTTAAAATCACTCTCATCTCAGATTAAAATATATGCCTATAACCTGAAGTGACAACTCGATCTACACGATTGAAAGCCATTCGGTCTTAATTATATTGTCACTATCATTTTAATGGTTGTATAACATGTTTCCTGGTATATAGGCTAGTGGTTTGGGTTTTCACTCTTTGCAAATAAAAGAGTAGGCTTACACTACGGCAGTATCCACATTTATTTCCTTTAATAACCACCTAGTTGACTTACCACTCAAATTTGCTAGCTGTTGATACTATTGTTCAACTATTAGTGCAGGGCTGAGGAGTGTGGAGGGTAAATGGCGTCCAGTGCTATAAACCAGGGCTTGTTATAATTATGTTGCAATATTGAGATGCTCGTATTCCCACAATCAGCCTTCTTACTGCATATCTTCATTGACCTTTCATCCTTACGTCAAGATGCACGCGCGTAGATAACAAATTACAGATATTTGCCCGTTTGCATATTAACAGCAAACAACAGGCTGGTCAGGTTGAAAAAAAAAAAACATTAAAAACACTCAGGATTTCAACTTTGTCGCTGGCGGTGAAACATGCTGCTTCAAGTAAGAGCGGTACAATCGGTATCCAGCCTCGAAATCAATTATTAAACCAGGTGAGTACATAAAAAGGGTAACCACAGAAAATACATACACAAAAAAAGACACATAACCTTGTGTGAATCAAATTACAGAAATGTTCTCCATCTATTTTGTTTGACACCTAAGGACTGAGTTAACTTGGGACCGAGTTGACCTCGACCGAGTTGGTTTCGAGTCAACTCGGTCCCAATCCATGTCAGTTCAACTCATTACAAAGTCAACTCGGTACCTGGTTAACTCGGTCTCAGGTCCACTTGGTCCCAAGTCAACTCGGTTCCACATCAACTTGCTAGGGGAAAAATGCTCTAGCAAGGCACTAGGAGCGAACATCAAACTGCGTCATGTTAGGGGCCGTGCCATGTTAGGGGTACATCAACAATACGCCATGCCGAGGTTACGCGTTCCACACAAACCTGGCCTGATAATTTTAAGTGTTTAATTGAATATCAATTATACCCCTTTTTAATGCAATATAAGCTTTACACGAAGCTGTTAATACAAATGATATTGAAAGCAGAAATACAACGGCCCAACACTAGCATCAAAAGTACAAACGTGGATAATTTTTGCATAACGTTTTCCTAGCAGCAAATTATAACCATTTAAAGATATCTGCGTATATACGGCTAATTTCCAGTTCATAATTGTTACATAGTTCCAAAATAAGATATAACCTGCCACCAAATTCAAACAAACATTTCCGATTCCTCTTGTCGTGAAACATTTTCAAAAATATACAATAAACTTCATTTTCAAAAATTTACAATAAACTCTGCCGTTAAAAGCAGGCTTATACCAGTCAAGTAATATATGGTAAACATGAAATATGCAAGTTCCATGTAATTACATTTAGATTTTTACTTCTTTTTCTTTCACCCTTTCAAACGAGCACTGAGGAGATTCAATGCTACGTTTCTCCCTATTTAGCAACAATTTAATCAAAATGAATGAAATATGTCGAAACTACAGATTCAGTAGATATAGGTATTTGAGAAACATTGTATCTTCATTTTACCACGACACATAGCGAAATCTTGTTGAAATCTCCTCCTTCCAATTTTTTTTCTATACTTTTTGGCTTCCAACCTCTTGGTATTTGGTTTGACAATTGAGAAAAGAATTCACATTTGCAGATATGTAACCAATTGCAAACTAAACTAAAGTTGGTAAGTAGGGAGCAGAATATAAAGGGAAACAATAATTTTGTTCGCGGCGGTTTTGAATTCAGCATTTCGAGAAAATGACGACAATTCCTTAAAACATCAGTAGGCGCAAGGATTTCACAAGAGCACTGATCCCTGTATTTACATACATTAAATGATATATCATGTCGGTTAAATGTTTGCAATTGCTGTCAAATACCTTTTAAAAAAAAACGGAACGGAACAATGACTAATAGCGAGCTCAATTTAAAAAAAATATCGATATGGATTGCAAAATAAACCATGCGTTTTTACGCGCTTAAAAATGTTGAAAGATCTGCTGCAGCCATGGTTTACATTCTCTTCAGCTTCGATGTTTACTGTTTTTTTTTGTTAGTTGTCATCAAACTCTGGGCGAATCATCATGTGCATGTATTCCTCAGTCTTCGGTAGCATTCGCATGTACGTCTACAGAGAGAGAACACGTTCACCATAATATGTGTTGGAATCAATGTCTTATTTTGGACCTTGCGAAAATGTGATATACACAGGCCCCCACCTAACCACACAAACATAATACATAAAGATACAGGAAATGGGTCATTTGGGAGACATTCTCATAGACTTGTGCACAACATTTTTTTTTAAATTTCATTGTGCCCTAACCCAATTCCCTTGTCCCTTTTCACGAATTTCAATATATTACTAAATAGACTCCAAGCCACCAATTTAATCTAATTGCGACATCAACATTTTGCCTCTGAAGGGTGGCTGTGACATAAGGGAGACATAAAAAATGTCTCCCTAATAACTGATGTCTCCCAACGTGTGAAGAAATTACGATGCGTATCTCCTAAATGTACCTTTACACGTATACCAGTAATAATAATGACAATGATAATAATAACAACAATGCACACCAAATTTTACAAACAAGTACACCCTTCAATAAAAATGATGTGCGCCTATGAATGATAATGGTTTAGGCATAGGCATGTCCAGTTTACTGCTTTCACATATCAACACTCACTTGCTCATTTGGGTTGTCAGCCATACTCGTCAGACGAGTCACTAGTTGATTGAAACTAGGCCGTTTGGCCGGGTCTACCTGCCAGCACATCAACATCAGGTTGTAGCTACAAAACAACATGTTTGTTTGTCATTTACAAACGACAGTGTAGCTACTACACAGAGTAGTTTTGTATTTGAATTGTTTACAAACGACATTAAAGCTACTTGATACATTAAAAAGTATCTTTATTTGTAAGAAAAATGATGTGAGAGTAACGAGAACTTTGTTTAGGAACTATAGGACAGGAACTATAGGACATAACCACATACTGACAGAAAACAAGGTAAGCTCAATATCAGTTTCAAACAAGTGAACTAGTTAAAGGGAATATACAACATTTGCAAACATCGAAAAATAAAACTACCAACTTTTTGCGAAATACCTTAATAGGATGTTGGTAAATGACAGTCTAAAGCATCCTGTAAAATTATGGCACCTGGTATACTGTCATTTTAAAGAAAAGTGTTATTTTTGTATCAATTTCCAACGCTGATCGGCCGATCAGCGTTGGAAACAACTGGCTTTTTTTTCAAATACTGGCCCCAATTGACCATCGCACTTGTTTACAATCGATTACAAACCTATGAACGGGTACGAGCCAGCTAGACTGGCTCCCTAACCTTACAATTCCCCAATGTATGTAAACTGCTCTGTTTCTTCTAATATGGAGTCAGGGAACCAGACTACAGGAAAATGATCGTTTTTCTTGGTTTTTATAGCATTTTCGAACCCAAAACCTCCAAAAAGTCAGTGTAACTATATTTGCTTTATATTTCCAACCCCCCAATTCCAACCATTTCTGAAAATTACAGCAAAAGCAAATGATGTATATTCCCTTTAAGTTAAGTTGAGATGATACAAAACAAATAAGTATTGATGCATGGACTATTAGATATGAAAGCATATGTATATGTTTAAACCTAATAATGAACACATCTTACATTTCATCATCACAGTTGCTTGGTTTGGTCATCCGATATCCAATCTCCAACCTCGACATCAGGTCCTTAGTTTTTATGTTTTCATAAGGAGTGGCACCTTGAAGGAACATTATTCAACGAAACAAATAATAGTGAGAGAGCATGTAGGCCTACAGCCCAATACTGCGTGACTTATTAACTGAGAAATATTGCCTTTTGGGAGTACCCATAACACGGGAGATTCTTCCTTCATTAACAACGCCATACATTACCTAGGGTCGCAATTTCCCAGAGAAGGATTCCAAAGGACCATCTGAAAGATGAAATGATAATAATAAACGTCATGATGTGTGACTTGTTTGAAGTAAATGAAATTGTTTGCAGAGTCGTAGCAAGGTCATTCTTAGCAGGTTGGGGGTACCATGAACACATTGCACTCGGCTTATCCGTGCGGATAACGATAGGTAGCGTTTTCATGTTAGCACAATTGCCGAAGTTTGCGCAACGTTTTAAAACGGATTACGTTTCGATAGTGCGAAGTACCAGTGGTCCGAAGTACCATTGGTCCAAAGTCCCATTGGTCCGACGTCCCATTGGTCCGACGTCCCATTGGTCCGACGTCCCATTGGTCCGACGTCCCATTGGTCCGACGTCCCATTGGTCCGAAGTCCCATCGGTCCGAAGTCCCATTGGTCCTACGAAACATAATACTGTGTAGTTCCACTGGTTCAGGTTAACTGACCCTAACCCTAACCATAATCCTATGGGGCGTAGGACCAATGGGACGTCGGACCAATAGGACGTTTGCACCAATGGGATGTATACAGCAATGGGCCGTCAGACCAATGGATGTATACAGCAATGGGCCGTCGGACCGATTGGACTTCGGACTATAGAGACGTCCCCTTAATAAGGGGCACTCGTTAAAAAGGGATACGATCTTACTTACACGTCACTCTTGGATGAGTAGGCATTATAAGTCAACGACTCCAGCGACAGCCAGCGAGTAGGAACACGAGTCTACGAAGAAAATATAAAGTATACTTTCGCTTGAGAACAAAAGACCAGGTCAAACTTGAAAGCATTATTTCAACAGTCTCGAAAGCTGCTGTAAATGATAACTGCGCAGATACAGACCAATAAATATATTCTCTTTCGAAAAGCAAAAGCAAAGCAACAACTATTGTGGAATTTCTTTTACCTGTGATGTCTGCACGTAGATATCTTCCCCTCGCGATAAACCAAAATCAGAAACCTTGGCAACCAGTTGATTGTCAAGGAGGATGTTTCTTGCCGCCAAATCACGATGAATTACCTGCGACAACCAAAACATGTTTTAATAATAAAAGGTTGTACAGACACTGTCTCAGTTTAAAAAAAAAAAACATGTTGATGGTATTCATTTTGCAGTATTTGAGTATAATTATTAACATTTATCGACTTTTCCCTGTGGCATGGTTTGGATTCCCAAAAATGCCAAATTCATTTGATTTCCATTTGATTTTCCCATGATATACGGGTTAAACCATTTCATGTCTCAAACTAAAATTTCTGCGTCTTCAGTTATGCCTTTTCGCTGATTGCCTGCCATGCCTGATTACTTTTGAGGGATACTTGGTTTCGTTTATACCAACAATCATTATTCCACAAAGAACAATATACCAATACTAACTCTCAATGCAGCAAGGTGTTGCATTCCTTTGGCAACATCCAAAGCAAACTGAATTAGTTTCTCAGAAGACAGAGTTGACTGTTCATCGTCATCCTGGGATCGAGCGTTTCTCAGGTAGGTGCGCAGATCACCGTTGGGCATGAACTCCAAGGCCACGTACAAAATGTCTGGTGAATCAGGAATGTTTTATCTTGATTAATGTACTCGAGGTTTGTATGTCTGTGACGGGTTCGGGCAAGACTTTTGAGAAAGTTGGAAAGGTTCAAAACTATCATTAACGGCCAGTGTTGTATTGAAAATTACCGTGTGTATTGTCTTTTAAAACTGAACATTGTGACATGCAATCATGTGTTCCCCAAGAGAGTTTGTCAGACGGAATAATTTGACTCGGGGAATGGTACCATTACCATATTCTAACCAAGTAACATTTCGTTTTAAATTTACCATGTAAACACTTAACATACTTGGCACATTAACACTCACATTTTAAACTACCAATTTCACTTACCATCATGTTGACAAGCACCAAGAATACTGACCACGTTCGGGTGCCGTCCAATTTTGGTCAGAGTTCTGAATTCCTCCATGAAATTCTGTCGATCGTTATTCGACTCGGAAGCTGTGAAAAATGTAAAAAATAAACAAAACTTTAGCAATAAAAGTAACTGACAGATTAGGCTCCTAGTCAGTATTGTTTGAGATATCGAAAGATGTACACTCCACGTACCCTTCAGTGTCTTTATAGCAGCCTTGAAAACTTCTCCTTCAACCTTCACTGCTCCGTCTCGAACTTCACCGAAATTTCCCTTTCCCAAAACCTTTTCGCCGATCATCATATTTCTAAATGGGATGTTCCAGCTCTGGGCCCAAGATGGCAGACCTTCATCCTCACAGGTTGGAGATGACATATTAACTGCAACTACTTCCAATGATGATGTGCAATCACGAGCAACGTTGTCATAGTCTGATACCTCATGTGGAGATATCCGACTCTCATAGTCCGATACCCCGTCTGGAGATATCTGATTATCAAAACTGATCTATGAAAAGCAAACATGAAATACATCGACAACGCATTTAAGGGGCCGGGTTATCTCTCAGCGCGGGGGGGAGGGGGGGTACCCCCTTTAGATCTCGGCCATCGATGACGAACAACTTTAAAACTCGGTACATGCAGAGAGCAATTCTTCATGAACATACCAAGAAATTTCATGACTAAAGGTCAAAGGGTTTTAGGAATTATGGCTCATTATTTATTCATATGTATGAATGGCAATTCTGGTCTGTGTACACGACGTATGTGGGAAAATTCAGTTTTCACGGGGCGTAGCGCAGGAACAACTTTCGCTGCGCGATAACCCCTCGTCTGATTTTTATGTTTTTGGTGTCAAAAGATGCGCAAAGCTTGAGGCTAAAACGTTATAAAAGATTGGGTCGCGAAAAAAAAAATCAAGGCTATCGTGGAAAAAAAGTCGAGGGGGGGGGTTCCGCCCCGGCACCTTTAGGGTTTGAGCAGAGTGTGCCAACTTCAACATTACAAACGAGTTATTACTGTGTTGTGGAGCACAATAAAGTATAGAATTAATACGGATGTGTGAAATTGAAAGACACGAATGCGTGTTGTGTAGAACATGCGTGAGACGATGCTCATTTCTCATAATCATGATCGATAACACCAACCAATTCCAGGTCTCCTGCTGGTTGTCTTCTACCTTTTAGATGACGCAGAAAAACAATTCCCACAATCACAGCCAGGATAATCAAGATAATGACGACAGTAACGACTGGGATCAGAACTGTCCTGCTACCAGTTCCTGCTGATACAAAAAAACACACAATATTAATATCATGGTTCTAATTGACGGTAAGTTTGAATAATACTTCCCTTCAAGGGCAAATTTGTTTTACCTCAAACACCACGGAATCGTTCGATGTATTTCAACCAGCACAAAAGAGCTCATTGTTTTACCTTCGGTCTTGGTAATCGGTAGTGTAGTTACTGGTGCTAGGCTCTTTACCGATGATGTTGTTTCTGTCCATTCCGTAGATGGTGCAGCTGATTCAATGGCTGAAAACAACGACAAAAATTATAAAAATATCAAAGAGGCTTGATAAACTTTAGTATAATTTCAATATACACTTCACGTCATTTCCGATTTAAAAAATAAATAATGTTGTGCTGGAATATCGTCCAGTCATATTCGAACGTTGAGTTTTTGAGGTGTCAAACCAGGAAAAAGAAAAGAAAAAAAAAACACGTATACACCATCTGTACAATTAAGTAATTTAGATGGAATTCGGTTTGATCTAGGCTTATACAACGTCACATCTATAGTTCTCACTACAAAGGAGAGGAGGGGGCAGCCAGTGGGCTGGGCCGGGTTTGGATATTGGGTGGCATATTTATGTTACACCTGTTAATGGTCACTTATATTTCCGGGGAAGTGGGCAACAATTCTATTCGTGATGGTGGAGGGGGTGTTTCTTATGTACTTAGTAGAAGTTAAATGTCATCATAGCAGTTGATGTTAATTATGATGATGGGATTGTAGAGCAAAATATTGTAACACGTTTATTTGCAGAAGAGAGTAAAACTAAAAGAAAGGACACATTTGAGCACTTCCTAATTATGTCATGCACCACATGTTAAATATATTTGTTACAAAACCGTGAATATGAAATCAGGTATACACGATTTATTTTAATAATTATGTATTTGCATTACAGGGTAGTACTTAAACAAAACTCAGGGGATATAATTTTCAAACACCACGGAATGGTGCGATGTATTTCAAGCAGCACAAACGCGCACATTGTTTTACCTTCGGTCTTGGTAATCGGTGGTGTAGTTACTGGTGCTAGGCTCTTTACAGGTGCTGTTGTCATGTTGAATGATTCAGATGTCAATTCAGTGAATGGTGCAGCTGATTCAATGGCTGAGGAAAAACAACACAAATTAAAAAAAATATCATTGTCACGACACTTTAACCCTAAAGGGGCCGGGTTATTTTGACCATCTCTCAGCCGGGGGGGGGGGGGATTCCGCCCCCCCCCCCCAAGATCTCGGCCATCGAGTGACGAAAAATTTTGAAACTCGGCACATGCATAGAGCGACTCTTCCTAAACATACCCAAGAAATGTCATGACTATAGGTCAAAAGGTTTTGGAATTATGGCTAATTAATTATTCATATGTACGAATGGCAATTCTGCTCTGTGTACACGACGTATATGCAAAAATTCAGTTTTGACGGCGCGTAGCGCCGGAAAATTTTTCGCTACGCGGCAACCCGTGGTCCGATTTTTATGTTTTGGGTGTCAAAAGGTGCGCAAAGCTCGAGGCTATAAAGTCATAACAGCTCGGGTCGCGAAAAAATTTTTTTTAGAGGCTATCACGGAAAATGTTGAGGGGGGGGGCGGATTCCGCCCCCCGGCCCCTTTAGGGTTAAAGTAGAAACACAATCTAACAATCCAAGTTTTATTGCTAGAGATAAGCATTTGTTGAGTTACAAACGCTGGGCGTTCGGCAGGCAATTTTTTTTTTTTGAACATTGCCAAATGAAAAGGACCAGTTGTTTTATTTTTTTTTTAAGATGTTTTTGGGGGTTTTGTTGTGGCTTGATAAATTTGAGTATACATTTAATTTACACTTAACGTCATATCCGATTTGATAACCTTACAATTAAAATGTACCAATTGAATTTTGATTTGGATCAGATGGGAAACTTGTTGTACAGTGAAAGAATTTCTGTATATATGGATATTAACATGGATGTTTAAGTGTATGTATTATTAACACCTTAATCCGGTAGGACGATGACACGGCAATAGGAAACTCAATGTCAAAATATCTGATCTTACTATTTTGGCTCAAAAATAGTAATTAAAATGGTCAATTGAGGGATATGCATTGACAAACAATGAGAAATGTGATAATGTTCTAATTCTTCCCTACAGTAACTTTTGACTGATGACATCATCCATTTGATATACTGTACATTCATTTGCGGATGTCTGATTATCCATGGGCAATTTGGTCAATATTTGGAAAAGATTTTTTTTTTTATTAAAAACAAGTTTAATTTTCCTTGATGTGCATATAGAGGGCGCCCTTTGGAGTGATTACGCCATCATGCGGATTTTTTGTTTGTTGGGGTGTTGGGGAGTTTGTTTGTTTGTTTTTTGAGGAGGTTGTGTTTTGCAATTGAATTAGGTGAGCACCTAATTCAAGTTTCGTTGCTCTTTTAGTAACACCAAAAATAAAGGTAAAAAATGTTGCCTTGGACTATGTACAAGACATTACCATGAAAGAGAACGGTGCTCATTTCATCTGAAAAAAATAAAGAAGAACCAACATGGTTTTTTCTAGTCCGAGGACGGCTGCCTGACCTAAAATGTATATTCGTCAGGACAGATTTTTCAGGTCAAGGAGCCAGACTTCATGTACCTATTAATATCAACTGACTTCCAGTTTGATGACATCACATCATTATTGTGCCCATCGTCAATAATGAAGCTGACTTTGTTTTCGCAAAGATGATCCCAATAGGCACAATAGGCTTAATTGTCCAGATAATGTTTATGGACAATTTGGTAAAATTGGGCAACTGTTTTTAAATAAAAATAAAACAAGCTTTGACCTGCTGCAGTGGGCGTCCATTCGGAGGACGACGTCACTATCAATTGTTTTGATTGTACAGTTTCTCACTACACAGTTTCTAAAGGCCCTCGTCAAGTTCTGTTGCGCCCGAAATAAAAATGTTGCAAAGGGCAATGCCTACCAGGTCAACATAGAAACAACCTCAGCTGGTACAAAGTTCGGTTAGAAATATAGTTTAAAATATTTTGTAAAATTTTGACCTTAAATCGCTTGTGATTTGATAATTATGTGATGACGTATATTTTTTTATTGTTTTTCATTTTTGTTTGTTTAATACATCTTTTAATGTGTTAGACATCCCTTGATAAAGCTAACTCAATCGGCACGCTGGTGGTGACGGACTTCTCCAAGGCTTTTGACTGCGTCGACCATACTTGGCGATCCAGAATTTGTATGACCTTGGTGTGAGGAGTGAAATAATCCCCTGGATCTGTAACTTCCTCACGTCTTGGCGGCAGAGAGTACAATATCACTCTGCACTATCTGAATGGGAGACCCTTTCATGCGGAATGCCGCAGGGCACTAAGCTTGGCCCTATAATTTGTATTGCTCTTGTCAATGATGCTGCAGAGAATGCGATCTGCCACAGCTTCAAATATTTTTGAAGCTGCGGAGGTCCGTCCCGCCAGCTCGCCCCTCAGCCAGATAGACTTGGATATTCAAGCCCTTGATGCCTGGTCCCAAAAAAACACCTCTTGCTCAAACCCTCTAAATGCAAGGTGATGCAAATCTGTTTCAACAAGCTTCCTCCCGCCCCACTTGATCTGGAAATTGCTGGGGGAAGCTTGAGACAATGAATGAGACTAAGCTCTTTGGTCTCACAATACAATCTAATCTATGCTGGGACTTGCAGGTCAATACCATGATCACTAACAGTAGCCGTAGGTTATATACACCCATTCGGTTGAAGCGCTTTGGTGTACCTGTGGAGAATTTGATCTCGGTGAACATTGGATATGTGCGCCCTGCTGTTGAGTATGCTGCACCAGTGTGGCATGGTAGCATTAACACCCATCAAACGCAGCAAATTGAACGAATCCCAAAAAGGGCCTGCTACATTATCCTTGGCAATAAGCAACCCCCAAAAACAGGATATCTGCGTACTTTTTCGACTAAGTTAATACTAACAATTCATTAGCAGTGGCAGAATTACCAAGATGGTCCCTTCTGCAAGCTTGCGATCAAGGCCATACTGTCGTTATCAGTACTGTTTTTACAGCAATAAACGAACCCCGTTTTTTTCTGAATT